AATTAAAGAAATTTGTACATTTAACGCTGACTATTTCTACCTTCTTTGAGATCGAACATGATAATTACAAATACTACTTGCATAAAATCTCAAATAGTTTTCCCTGAATTACCACCGTCAATTTGTTTTCGCCGACATAGGATAATTGTTTAGTTTAACATATCTACCAAGTTTACATATATATATATATATATATATATATATATATATATATATATATATATATATATATATATATATATAATTGGGGACGTTGCATTTATTCTTGGCATATCTATATAAATTGATTCTTGAAATTTATACATTGTTACATGATCTTGTTTGCCGTTCAATAATCCTCTTCTTCTTCGGCTTCTGTCACTTTTCATTTCCAGAATTTTTCGAGTTAAGACATTTGAAAATTATATCCTTTTAAAATTCTGAAGATTTTCCAAAAATAGAATCATCAAATTTCTATTGATATAGAAATATCTCAGTTTCTTCATTCGTTCCATCAATTCATCTCCGGTGCTTCGACCACCGTCCGTATATGAGCGTCAAATTTAATTTCCGTGTCGCTACATTGCATCATGGAATCAGTGTTTTCTCACATCGGGGAATGCTGCATTCAGCCTATCAGAAGATTGCAACATTTCTGTGTAGATATTTAATATCTGCTCAAGGGTTTGATCTCGTAACAACCACGTTTATACCTGCATATACAGATAACGAACAAATATCACATGAGTCAACATCAGAAGGCGATTGGTTTTTCAACAGATATCAGGCGATGAATGTTTGCTTTTGTAAATATACATAATATTTAATTTAATTTATAAGATTAAACCCATTTCCGTTTATTTTTATCTTATTTGATTATGTAAATTGCATCAACGTGTGTGTGTATGTGTGTGGTTGGGGGTATGTTTACGAAACGGAAACTATATCTGCGCATGTTCAAAACGATATAGAAGCAAATGGCAATGTTTGTCATGATTTATATGAGTCAGATTGAATACATAACGAAGTATCTGTATTATGTAAATTACGTTTAACGAAATATTTATCAGTGCAGATTTTTTAGATAGGTATTAAACATTCTTGTTTGATATATCTATTGTTATAGACGTAACATTTCAACCAGTCTACTTCTAGTCATCATCAGGTGTCCATTGATTAGACTAATACAATAAAACATTATATATATATATATATATATAAGTATTATAATTATTTTTTTAAATATGATTCCATCGTTACATAAGAGTTCTTATGTTTCAAAAATAGAAGCTAAAAAACCAGCTCTATTTCATCCTCAAGCGAAATAACTATTCTTGAAATTTACGGTGCTTTTTAAGCATATACATTCGTAATACTAATTACATAAAACCGGTGAAACCAATTATTGTAATAAGGGGTGAAAGGGTGAACATATTGTATCAACATATTAGTTACTTTCGAAAAGAGTTTAAGTTAAGGTAGGGTCGATGTGTCAATTTTAAATCGAATGATGACATCAGTTTGAAGCATGTCGTCTGGTCTGTTTCAACGACAGAGAGTTGTTGGCATTATTGTTACGCCGTTAAATTCGTATTTGTATACCTTATTTTTTTTTTCTAAAAGGGTTTTTGTATATAAATACGTCGTATTGAACTACAATTTGTTTTTTGACGACTTCGTAAAGGATCTTATTTATCTTATGCTCGGGTTGAGCTTTTAAACATTTGGCTTGAAACTGAAATTGTTTATAGACTATGAAATTTAAAAAAAAATAAGTTATTTCTTTAAAGCGAAAATTTGTTGATGTCGGCAAAAACCGCTAACTCTGTCTATGGTTTAATAAATTTTCGTTTTTTAGAAACTTAATTATGTGTAGTATTTCATGTAGCCATAAAGGGCATGAGTCATCCCAGGTTTTACATGTTCTTGTTCTATTTATTACTTTCCATTTTACTTTTGGTGTTTTATTCATTTCTTTTTAATGCCAAAAATATTTGGATAGGGATGTCTGATTTCTATTTCTAATATTATTGAAGGTTTTTTTTTTCTGTTGCCTCCAGCTAATTTTAAATTCAGTTTTCGTGGATCCTATACATATATCATTTCAATGTTAGGACTCTCAATGGATGAGATTGTGCATTGGTATACCACAGCTTCTATGTGGCATTTATTTTCCAACGGGCATCTCTTTCGGGTTTCTACAATCATATAATTTTTCATTATTTTTGTCTAATTTAATTTAGGCTTTTTATTAATAATATTTTGACATACTTGTTTTTCCAGGATTTGATTATTATGTTGTCTTTTTTTTATTATTCTTTCTAGATTTTCACTGCAGGTGTAACTTAATTTTAATGTGTTTTTATTAAAGATCTTGCTAAGTCTGCTGTTAGTAGGAAAGTGCTTTTCAATTAAAGCTAGGAATTTTTGTCCTAGCTTAATACTAACCACTTGTGTAAATGGAAAGGTATACAAAATGATTTTTCTTTTCCTGTGTTTTTTGGTGAGTCCTATTGTTTCTATAATTAATGTTAGCGTTTTTGTATCCACTAATTTTTAGAGTGTGTTGTAAAAATTACTGTGTATGTTGACTCATGTGATATTTGTTCATTGGCGGAGTTCATACTGTTCTTTTGTCTATTGTTAAGGGTAATAATTTTACTAGTTCTGTTAATATTATCTACCATATTTACGTTGTTATTATAAGCTATTTCATAAGTCCTTGTTAATTTTTTTTAAAATTAAGTTGTTGTAGTGGTCTGCCGTCAATTTGTAGAAGTTTCCCGTTTTCTCAGACTTTACCTGTATTTTATATATATATATATATATGTGTGTGTGTGTGTGTGTGTGTGTGTTTATATATATATATATATATATATATTACAATATATATATATATATATATATATATATATATATATATATATATGGTTCCTGCTGAATGCTACTCTTTCTATGGTCCGTCTAGACTGGGCCATATCCGGCGAGCCCACTATGCATCAATCCTGCGTCCCCACGTTTTGTTTCAGTATCCTCAGGAATACTGTTGAAGAACTGTCGGAGATCAGACATGACCCATCTTTGACACATGGAAAACAAAAACAAAACAAATCAACAAATTTCATCGAAAGAATCAATCCCCCCTCAATGTTTGTTCTCATTTCGTTGATAAAAGACACATGCGTGTCCGAAAATTCCAACTTCTAAATCTTACTCTTCGTGCTCCGGTTTTAGGTCTGATATATATATATATATATATATATATATATATATATATATATATATATATATATATATGATATATATATATATATATATATCCATTGGTGTCATCATGGTTAATATAAATGATCTACTTGACAATGTTTCCTATGAGTACCAAGTGTTCATTGATTGGTTGATATACTCTAACTGTTGTTCTGATAATTTGTTCCTGCGATGTCAGTTAATGTTCGTTTGAATTTGTGCTGCTCCAGGGATTGAACTTATGAACACAAGATCCGTCCTTCTCAAATATTTTCCATGTCTCCTATTTTTGGTACCAAAATAAAATGCCAGGTCCAGATAAGCAGAAAAAGAATTTCCTTGTGAAAGGAAAATAACTTTCATTTATAAAAGAAAAAAAAAAAAATAGTAGAAAATACGATGGTATGTCATACATTATCCGACCTTCACCATAACTTATCTATTTGACGGTATATAAGACGCACTTTTTTTTTTACTAAAAATAACTTTTAAAATTCCCCTGAGTCTTTTCTGCAAATATGTAGGTTTAAAATTCGCGATAGTCGGCCGAAAATTTGCTACCAAGCAACTCCTATTAGCTTAGACTTAAACATGAAGGAACAATGGTACACATGGATGGCAATGCCTGATCATGACATTATACTTACAGGAAGAATAAAAAAAAACACCATTGCACAAGTCTGCGAATGGGTGAAGCAAGCTTGGGATAATATTAAACCATTTGTTGTGAAATCTTTTAAAAAGTGTGATATTAACAATTCTCTCAATGGAACGGAAGACGACGCATTATTTAACGACGATGATAGTAGTATGGAAAATGAGTATCAGAGTTTTGATAAGGAAGACGACGAAAATTTTGGATTTGACGATGAATAAAATTTTTATGGTAACTGTACTGTTTTGCTTAATTTTAATAATTGCTTGATTTTTATTTTGTTTTCTTACCTTTGGATATAATAAAATTTTTGTAGACTCGTGTTCTTTTTTCCCTATTATTTTTCGTTTAATTGTAATCGTGGCTTGTTTAACCAAAATAATAATATGGCCTAGGCTGTACCATTAACTAAAAATTTTACTAATTTTACTAATTCCTAATTTTTCTTGGTTTGCCGTGCTGAAATTATGGTGCGTCTTATACGCCCGTGCGTCTTATATGCTGTCAAATATGATATCTCTTGGTTTTTCACACTGTTGCTGGCACATCCTTATAGTTGATACTCTTGTGGTCATGTGATGTAAGCTTGATCGCACTAGTTTTCTTGCTGCTGTTACAATGTAAACATGGCCGCTCCGCTAGCAGTGTTCACCAAGCCGGAACAAAAAGCAGTGATCCGATTTCTATGGTCGGAAGTTGGCTGAAATTCATCAGAGGCTTTTAACACAATACGGCAACAGTGCACTACGGTGTAGAAATGTGCAGGAGTGGATGAAGAAGTTTAAAAGTGACCAGACAATCGTGACGCACGAAGAAAGGGCAGGGCGCCCGTCAACCTCCACAACTGACGAAAAAACTTAGCAATCTCGAGAGATGGTAATAACTAACCGGCCAGTTATCACCGACGAGGTAGAATGTTCCCTGCAGAATCGGATCACTGCTCTCTGGTGCGGACATGTTTACAATGCAACAGCAGCAAGAAACCTGGAGTGATCAAGCTCAAACTTTGATCACGTGACCACAATAGTAAGCACGCATGAGCAGAAGGCAATGCAACAAACATAAAGATATGGTATGCCGAAAATGAGAAAAATGTTTATTCTCGTGCATATCCTGACTAATGACATATAGATCGTGGTATCTATCTATCTATATATCTATGTATGTATGTATGTATGTATGTACGGATGGATGGATGGATGCATGTATGTATGTTCATATCTATCTATCTATCTATCTATCTATCTATCTATCTATCTGTCTGTCTTTATGTATGTATGTCTATCTGTTCATATCTATTTATCTATCGAAGGCTATCCATATCTATCTATCTATCTATCTATCTATCTATCTGAATGTCTGTCTGCTCATATCTATCTATCTATCTATCTATCTATCTATCTATCTATCGATTTATCTATCTATCTATCTGCTTGTCAAGCTGAAGTTCCAAGTTTCCAGTCTTCTCTCTTTTCAATCTCCAATAAACTTTCCTTAGGCCAACTCCAGGCCCATTTAATATAATTCTCAGGCCAACTTTTCGGCTAAAGACACTCACTGAAAAAACTGTAGTAGGTACAATAAAATTATCTCCTCTATTCAATAGGAAGGGTCATAGTTAATGAGAGTTCAATCCCTGGTCTGGGCAGTGTCTACTCGGACTCAGCGGAAACGAGTCAAGGAATAGCAAAAAAATTACTTAAAAGAAAACCAAAAATATAAAACTAAAAAAAAAAAATTATAGAAAACAGCAATAGAAAACTGGTCGGCATATTGAGGTTGATATGCCATAAAATAAAACAAACCGAACAATCTAATCCACTAGTCTCACTTCTGACTGGAGAACTTGGAGACTTAAACCTAACATGTCAGCTGTTACTTTCCAGACTTGACTGTACTCAGAATGTCTTCTTTTTTTTTTTTCGAGAAGCATCTGATGACAACCGGAGAGCAAAACGACCGAAACTTGTTGATAACTACTGCAAAGATTAGGACAATAATCCGTATATAAACTATGAGCGGGTTATTTACATTATTTAAATCGAAATGATCAGCCGGAATTTATACGTATTACCACCACAAAATTTCGCCAACCAAATACGCACATAATGAACACGTCTTGCCCTTTTGTATTCTGCTTCGTTAATTAATTTAGCAAAACATCCACCAGCAAAAATTAAGTCATGTTCACATATATGATGAGATGACGTATCAAATACTCTACGCCTATTCTATAACACGTCATCTAAACTTTAATCCAGGACAATCCATACTCCGGATCAAATCCTTAAAAATCTAGTTTGACCTCACAACTAAATATGATTGATTTCTCCTTCCCCGTACCTACCAAAGATTTATTCCATCTGAGTGACTTTTCTACCCTTCATCTCGATTTTCTGCGATTTATTTCCATTCCTTTGTCTCATCCATCCATACAGTTGATTCTGAATGACTATCTGTGCTGAATCACTTTTCCTACTTTCACTTTCACTATTGCTTTTCTACCCATTACTGTTAACGTTCGAACGAGATTAAACCATGTTGTTTTCCACATTCCTCACCGCATCTCCACGTAATAAGGAATGTTTTCGAAACAGACACACGAACACATGGCAGCAGATGTGCTGGTTCCACTGCCTTTTCTTTGCTGATACAGCCTGACTTTAAGCAACCAATCGGCTTAGGTATTTCACAAGCACAGCTTTTAAAATTATACGCGTATACATGTGCGCATGAGACAAAGAAAGAAAGAAAGAAAGAAAGAAAGAAAGAAAGAAAGAAAGAAAGCGAGTGAGCCGGTAGTTAGATAAATCATGCAAAATCTAAAATAATTAAATAAAATAAGATTTAAGAAAATTATATATATATATATATATATATATATAAAAAGAAAGAACAGTAAGATATAAAATCCGGTGTTCTTATAGATATTTTATTTTTACAAAATAGTGCTCAATGTAAATTTACAGAGCATTAATATTATAAATGAATTGATTTAATATATATATTTTACTTAACAAATATTTGAGTTATTTATATATAACAAAATCTAATTTAAATGCTCAGTTTATAATAAACCGTAATAACAATGTTTACCGGCATAAATGTCCGAGAAATGTCATAGACATCAAGGCCGGTAAATGTTGTTAATATTGTTTATTATAAACAGAGTATTTACTTAAATATTTGAGTCTATATAAATAACGTATAACAATAAAACATATTTAAATAATTGTCGGAATTTTTCCATTTCGCCGTATGTGACGTTATTTGTTGGCGTTTAATTACACAGCGTTTGAGGGAAATCATGGAAAATTGTATTTTAAAAGCAGTAAAATCGACCTTGCTAACTAGACCCTACTTTCGTGGCTAAAAAGGTATAGCACGTCAGGCTATATGACGGTTCCGCGTAGGCTACAGGTTCGATTCCTGTCGGAGGACACATATTTTCTCTCTGATAATTTCTCGGATATCCAAGCCGGTAAATGTTGTTAATACTGTTTATTATAAACAGTGCATTTACATAAATATTTGTCTATATAAATAACGTATAACAATATATATATATATATTATATATATATATATATATATATATATATATCCTGACACAGGACCATCATATAAATGCAACATATAAACAGAAAATCTATTAAAATGATTAGCTTGGACTTAGTCCTTTTGTTTATGACATTATTTGTTTACATTAAGATAGGCTTCGAGCAGATATGAGCGTTCAAGAGAGATGATGGCAAATTTGTAGTTTAAAAACAGTAAATCGAACTTGCTAAAATATAGTTTTTACGTGCAGGTTCATTTCACCTTTCTTGAAAGATCTTGTATTTTCTCTATGTTGGAACTTTCATAAAAGCACAGATAAAACATAAAGAAACAGAAAACGAAACTAATTAATTTCTACTAAACTCTATATCCAAAACAACAAAAGAAATTTAAAATTTCAGTGGCATAAAGTATTTATTAATCGAAATAATTTATACTTTAAAAGTTATTTTAGTGGATAGCCATAGACCAATAGACGCTCAGATTATTTATTAAACTGTAAACTGATTAACTCTTAACAACTTGCTTTATACATATATATATATATAAAAATATATATACTCAGCTTTCCCGTCGACTGCGAAGTTAGAGGGACAAGCAGGACAGTTCCTAGGAATCGAAAGCCCGACACCAGCACGTGAGATTTGATTATAGTAGTGAAAGTTTTGTGCAGATTCTTCCACACTTTTTGAAGGGTCGTGCCACGAGGTCTCCGAACGATCCATCCGCAGGTTTTGAATTCAGAGTTGTTCTTCTCGTTGACCAGTTGCCATCGAAGGCTATAGAACTCTGTCCTGAAGTCTGTCCTGCTATTTACTCATAGCTGGAGGGAGAAGAATAGGATTCATACCTTTCGAACTCGTATCTCCGATTCCTCAATCCAAACCGCTAATCATTACTCCACTGTGTCTCATCTATCTATCTATCTATATATATATATATATATATATATATGTGTGTGTGTGTGTGTGTGTGTATGTATGTATGTATGTATGTGTGTGTTCATATATATATATATATATATATATATATATACACGTTATTTTTATAGACATATATTTTAGTAAATTTTCTGTTCACAATAAAAAGTATTAACAAAGTTTGTCGGCCTGTACATCCGAGAAATTTCATAGAAAATATCCGTCCTCCGACAGGAATCGAAATTATATCCAACACAGAACCGAAATATAGCCTGACGTACTATGCCATTTAGCTACGAAGGAAGCATCTGGTTAGCAAGGTCGATTTTGCTACTTTTAAACTAAAATTTCCCATGATTTCCCTCGAATGTTCATATCTGTTCGAAGCGTATCTTAATGTAAACAAATAACGTCATATATTATGAAATGGACAAAGTACGACAATTATTTTAATAGATATTTTTTGTTATACGTTATTTACAGAGACACAAATATTTAAGTAAATGCTCTGTTTATAATAAACAACATTAACAACATTTACCGGCCTGAAAATTTTAAAGGTTTAAAAGCATTCTGTGGCCGGCACTAAATCAGTTCAAATCATTGATGTACACACTTTCTATGATGTTTTGTGGGAACTTGAGATTAAGTGCATTTTGACACAATAACACATACATGGGTAAAAAGTGGAGATAAATTCAAGACAACAGTTAGAATAGGCACAGCACAGACTGTAGAATGGCTAAGTATATCATATAATATAGTTTTGTTCTTTGTTTTTTAAGGATTTAATCCCAAGCAAGGCGATAAAACCACTGAAAAGCCGAAATCTGGGAGAAAAATCTTTAATAAGGAGGGAGGAAAATAAACGAACAGGATTCAAGTAGACTGATGGTGATGCTTTTAAATGTTAAAGTAGACTGAAAAGACATTTCTTCAAACGAGAAGTACACGAGAAGTACACGAGAAGAAATTGTTCGCATGGAATTTATGGATGCATCTAGCAATTTCAAATGTAAAACCGAGCTGATACTCGAGTACTGCGCGTAAATTATTAAAGTCAAAGGAACCAAACAAAAGAAAATTTACCAAAATCGTCTCTAGAAAATACAAAGGGAAGTTACTTTGCCGCCATTTCGGCACCTCGAAGTGGTGTAATGGTTAGCAAGCTTGTCTCGCTAGAACAATAAAGACTGAGTAGTGAATTCGATCCTCACTGGGTGTCCCATACTTTTGGCCTTGTGCCATGTCTGAGCTACGCTTGGAAAATCATTACTTTGCTGTTGTATTTTTACTATATAGTGACTCTATACTGATTGCTAAAGTTTCTTGGACACTGATTTAATATCACTGAATAAATAGAATATTTAGATTAGGAAAAAAATCATCGTGTTCATTTTTGTAAAAAATTAATTATCTGGTTTCCAAGGATCGGTAGAAATACGCAAAACGTATTTAGGATTTTTCGACAACTGATGTATTAATAAATGTAATACCAACAAACAAGAATTCTTACAGGAAAATGCAATTAAGCAGACAATAACATGAACACCGAAAGGACAACTACAATGCCGTCGCATAATATGGTTATAAAATGTGTCTAATGTACAAAAGCATTTATATAAATGAACTTAGGATAAAATTGCTGCTTTTAGGAATGATGATGCATAAAACATATAAGATATAACTGAATATATATATATATATATATATATATATATATATATATATATATATATATATATAACTGTATATATATATATATATATATATATATATATATATGAAATATAGTCTTAAGATGTGCTATATTTATGGGATAAAGTACTCAATATCAGAGATAGAGCGTGTGTAAATATAAAAGTGAACATAGAAGTCAACACTTAGAGGCGACAGTCTGTTTCATGCTATATGCAATCGTCAGGTCTGACGATTGCATATAGCATGAAACAGACTGTATATTAGCCGAGGTGTTTCGTCCAATGTGGACTTTTTCAAGGCAAAAACGAAATGAATTTATTAAAACAAAGTAGCTAATAATAACAAAAGAAAATGTCCTTAGAAACTGGAAGAATTTAATAGCGTTTTCTAAATTCTTCCATTTGCTAAGAACATTTGGGCGAAACGCTTCGGCTAATAATAACAGTTTGTATTTTTATATATATATATATATATATATATATATATATATATATATATATATATAGAGAGAGAGAGAGAGAGATATTTAGGATTTCATCAGATTGGACATTGTCGTTTCGTGCATATGTGTATTCGTAGGAACATCAACAAAGACCAGGTCGATGCAATCCTAACGGATGAAAAGCGCCACGAGAAATTTTCAGTTTGTCATATATATATATATATATATGAAATATGAATATAAATATAAATAAATATATATATATATATAATTATTTATATATTATATATTCTAGAAAGCGCTCAATATTTATTTGGTTGGATAAAAATGTTCCACTTTTCGTCAGACGATCGCTAAAGCGTAAACAGAAATCACATCTATCCACTAAATATATATATATATATATATTTATATATATATATATATATATATATATATATTTATATATTCTATTTAAAAAAATGTTTGCAAAACAGAAAAATTCTAAAATTCAAATTAAATATTATAATCAATATCTCGGTTTCATTCTCAAGCGATTTTTGGAATTACCTATTAAGAAATTTACTTAATTTATAAGTACAATCTTAAAATATTTTAAGTTGTTAAGGTTAGGGAAAATCCAATCATTTTGATAAGGTGTGGCTGGGTTTTAATTTCCCTAGACAAATTATGTATCAAATATAAGTTACTTTTAAAATCAGGTTAAGTTATGGTTGGGTAGGGGTCACTGCTCACAAACAATGCCATCCATACATTATAGGCAAAAAATTATTTTATATATGTAAAAAATTATTTTATATATAAATATAAATAATTTTATATTAATTATGAAAGAATTTATTTTATGTATAACAAATTATATTTATATATAAGAAATTACTGTATTTTTTATATATTAAAAATTTACATAACAAAGTATGTATAAAATAAATTATTTTATATATAAATATAAATATTTTTATTTTATATAAAAAATAAAGAACTTTATTTTATATATAAATAAATAATTCGATTTATATATAAAAATAAATTTATTTTATAAATAAAAATATTTTGCAAATAAAAAAAAATTACTTTATATATAAAAAATTATTGTATATATAAAAATTTTATTTTATATATAAAAATAAATAATTTTACACCTAAAATATTTGATTTTATATATAAAAATGTATTTTATATATAAAAATATTTTATATATAAAAAGATAATTATATTTTATAACAATAAATAATTTTACTTTATTTATAAAACAATTTATATGTAAAAACATTTTACTTTATATAGAAAAATTATTTTATATATGAAAAATATTTTATATATTATTTTATATATAATAATAAATAATTTTATTTTTTATATAACAATAAATAACTTCATTTCATATATACCTAAAATATAAATAATTTTATTTTATATATAAAAAATAAATATATATATATATATATATATATATATATATATATATATATATATATATATATATATAAAATAAAATATATATAATTTAATTTTATATATAAAAAATTATATATAAAATTTTATTTTATATATAAAAATGATTTTATATATAAAATAATTTGTTTCTAAAATTCCCTTTTCGGTCCTCTTTTAGTTTCAAATTAACACACCATTCTTCATCTAACGCCAGTTTAATGTCATGAACAATATGATCAAATATATGTTAAGGTATGCTAAATTTATGCTTTAAAGTGTTCAATAGCAGGGATAGATCGTCTGTAAAATCGTAATAAAAGTTGACATCGACGTCAACACCCAGAGGCTACACGCAATCGCCTCACGTGTTGACTTCAATATTTGTCCACACACAGACCCCATATATATATATATATATATATATATATATATATATATATATATATATATATATATAAAGAAGATCCCTAAAATATGCTCACTCTTTAAATGACAGTAATTGTAGTGTAATTATTGTCTTGCAAACAAGACAATGGTTAAAATTAAGAAATAATAATGTATATTGTCGTACAAAGAAGATTAAATAGTGACTCTTTTTGAAAAAAAAAATATTTTAAAAAATCAAGAACTGAAACAACGTGTATATATATATATATATATATATATATATATATATATATATATATAAATATATATATATGTAAATTAATATATATATATAAATTACGACCATTTATATATATATATATATATATATATATATATATATATAAATATATATGTGTGTGTGCACATGTGTGTGTGTGTGTGTGTGTGTGTGTGTGTGTGCGCGCGCACGTGCGTGTGTGTGTTTATTTAAACCGTATTCTGCATCTCTGTATAATTTGCAACATACGAGGAATTCAACGTGCTATTCAGTCTAGACTGGTTTAATCATTCGAGCAGAGGATCTTAATTCCGTAAAAATTCTTTTATATACAAATAATAATGACTATATTGAGATGAAAGGAAAAGACCGCTCTCTCATTTTCCGTTTGATGTGCACGCAGACCCCCATAATTTTACTTCCGATGCGTTTGCATGTGCGCATGTTTCAAAATTGTTCCATTAAAATACTAATTCTGCGAGAGATGCAGTGGATACCTAACTGCGAATATAGCAGCGCATGCGCGTTTAAGCTTCACGCATGCCCAGTTACGAGACTATTTGTCGATTTCTTTTTTTGTTTATTTTTTTATTCGTGTTTTCCAATGCATTTACCTGGAGAAGCAAGAAAAAATAAAATAGAATAAAAACAGAAAAGAAAGAACAGATGCGCGCTTTGGGTGCTTGATGGGATTTCATTTTGCCTCTGATTTCTCTTAATCGATCCAATGTTGAACTCCCCACCCAATACATTCATTTATCTTTTCTTTTTTTTTCGTTCTTTTTTATTCACTCATTTCAATTTTAGCTTCTTTTTCTATTTCCTTTTTTACATTTGTTTTTACAGTATCTTTTTTCTACACCTTTTTTTGCTTTTGCCTTTCGATTTCTGTTTTTATTTATTTATTTATTTTTACCACGATTGAGTTCTTTATTTGTTTATTTGAATACAAATTCTGGAGCTTTTTTTCCTTCTCCTTCTTCTTCTTACCTTCGTTTTTACTCTTCATTTTTCAACATCTTCTTCAATTTCCCCACACTTTTCCTCATTCTACACACCATTTTCTTCTTAAAAAAAGAAAAGGCTTGTAAAAAGAAGAACATGTTGAATAATACTTGAGTAGTAGAACAGGACGAAGAAGATGAAGAAGAAGAAAGACATGAGAAGAAAAAAAGACGAAGATGAAAGAGAAGAGAAGAAAAAAAAGAAGAAAGAAATTATGCAGGAAAGAGATGAAGAGAAATTTCTTTAAACTCCCACCTTCATTTTTGCTCTTTGTTAATTTTCTTCTTCTATTTTTCCTTTCATCTTTTTCTTTCTCTTCTTCTTTTCCTTCTTCTGTTTCTACATCCTCCTTTTTCTTCTTCTTCTATTTTATTTTCTTCTTTTTTCTTCTTCTTCTTTTCCTTCTTCTTCCTCTATTTTTCTTTCTTTCTTTTTTCTTCTTTTCCTGCTTTTCTTTTGCCTCTTCCTTTTCTTTTTTCCTCTACCTTATGTTAATTACTTTACTCTCTATTTCTTCGACCACTTCTTTTTGTTCCTTCCATTCAAATACATATGCTCTTTTCCTTCTTCTTCTCGTCTTTTTCTTTTTTTCTTTTCCTTTTTCTTGTTATCTTCCTCTTCTGCATATATTCTTCTTCCTACTCTTCTTTTTTCTCTACTATTTATTCTTCCTTTTCTCCCGCTCATTCTTCTCCATCATCTCTTTCCTTTTCGTTTTTCTTCTCTTCTCTTTCGTGTTCTTCATCTTCTTCGTCCTCTTCTTCTATTCATATATTTTTTCACTACGTTCTTTTATTTTACACATCTTTTCTTTTTCATCTTCTTGTTCCTCTTTTTTACTTCGTCATGTGTTTTCATTCTTTCTTCTTTTCTTCCTGTATTACTTTTCAATTTCATCGTCTTCTTTTGCTCAGCCTCCACTTTTTCTCATTCGCTTTCTTCCTCTTCATCTACTACTACTACTACTACTTCTTCTTCTTCTTCTTCTTTATAATCTAAATTTTCTTCCTTTTCTTTTTTTCTTCTCCTTCTTTCCCAAAGTTTTCTTTCTTTTTTTCTTTCTTTTTTTCTTTCTTTCTTCAATACTTCACTTTAACCGTCTCCCTTCTTTCTTTCTTGCTTACTAGCGTATTGCTCTTTTATTTTCATATTTTCTTTCTTTTTCATTATATCCCTTTTTTCTGTCGACATCCCATTTTTTTACATTTCTTTCATTTCCAAAATATACGTCCTCTACACCGGAAGGCTCTCTTTACTTCAACCTCCATTTTGTTATTCACCTTTCCAATGCTGTTCTTCACCTTCTAACGACATTTTTATTTTCCATTCTTTTTCTTTCTTTCTTTTTCTTACCTCACCTCTTTTCATAGGATCTTTCATTTATTAGTTTCAATTTCCGTTTCTCCTTTGCATTTTTCTTAATCGCCATTCTTTCTATTCGTTGCGTTCTTTCGAGCTACTCCATCTTCCTCACGCTTGCCACTTCTTTTAAATCACTTTCCTCTTCCGACTTAATTTTCATTCTTTATATTAAACACTCTTCACTATTACTATCTATTTCTGTTTTATTTATTGTCATCCACTTTATATTCTTTCCTTTGCCACGTTCACTTACACCCTTCCTTACTGAAAGAACCTGTGCTTAATCTATGTTAAGGTTTATTGTTCTTGCGTCTGGCATCGTCTGCTCGTTTCTGTTTTCTCAAATTCATTGTAAGCCAAACGATTTATTTTACACATCAGACTTGCACACCTACTCGCTGCATCTTTGCTTTCAAATATACGAACAAGATTTATTTCCATTTTCTTACATCCGACATTATTATCTTTTTTTTTATTTTCTTCTGCAGTTTGTTCGTTTTTTTTTTAATGATCCATTCAGATTTTTCTTAACCGATTTTTTCTTTGTTCTTATTTTATTTTTACGTGACTTTTCGATTTTCTTTTCGTTTATCGCATTTGATTTTATTTTCAAGATTTTTATTTCAAGTTTTTTAGAGCTTTCTTCGTTTTTCTTCTCTATCTTCCGTTTTCTTTTTCTTACATTATTTCTTTTTTCTTTCTTTCTTTTTCTATTTGTCTTTCGTTCGTTCTTTCTTTATCTACTTACTTTTTCTTTCTTCCTTTTTCTATTTCTTACTTTTTCTTTCTTTTATTCTTCCTTTTTCTTTCTTTATCTTTCCTTCTCTATTTCTGTCTTTCTTTCTTTTTCCATTTCTTATTTTTCTTTGTTTATTTCTTTCTTCTTTTCTTTCATTTATTCTTTCTTTCTTTTTTGCATTCTCTCTTTTTTCTTTCTTTTTTTATTCTTTCTTTTCTTTATTTCTTTCGCTTAAATATTTTTAAATCGCTCTTTGCTTATTCACCTCCAACATATTTTTCATTTTTATTTCCTGTTTCGTTGAAATCATTATAATTTTTTCCCTCTTTTTTTTGTCTGAATTTATTTCCAGGAATTTTCATTCATCCTTTGTTTATTTTATTCTCAGTTTTTTCTTACCTATGTCGCAATGACCGGTTTTTATATATTTCTTTGCCATTCGAAGTCATATCTCAAAATATGCGTACACTCATAATTTAGCAATCTGTGCATCCAGATATAACCGAGTAAAAGTGTATATCTCTGTGTATATCTGTGTGCGTGCATGTGTGTGTGCATGTGTGTGTATGTGTGTTTGCATGTGTGTCGTAGTACAGAGACTTATTTAAATGTTACGCAGAGGGACGTTGTCATGAATAAACTGCCTAATTTAAGAGGTAAAATTAGTATTATTTTCAGTGATTTGTCTGAAGATATGAAAATGCAGACATAACTAGCATCCTGAATTACATATAAATATAAAAATAGTCCACGATATTCATAAGTAAACATATAGTGATGAAGGTTTCGTGCAGGACCATCGACACACTCTTTGAAGATCCGAATACAGAGACCTAGTGCACTACGTGCCACAAGGTCCCCAAACGACCCTCCACAAGTTTTGAATTCAGAGTTGTCTTTCTTCTAGACCAGTTGCCATCCAAGGCTATAGAACCCAGTCTGTCCTGCTGGAGAGAGAAGAGAAGGATTCACACCTTTCCCAAGTGTGTTTTATATATATATATATATATATATATATATATATATATATATATATATATATAATGTTGTAAGAAAGTGAATGTGAAGAAATAACAAAACAAGAAGTTGCAAACAGATCGTGTATAATCCACTGAATGATGAGATCCTTATGTATAAAATCAGTGGATTATTAGTAGTATAATGCTTATAATTATGTCTACTAGAAAAGAGATTTCGCCAATAATGGAATTAATATTGCTAATTGATTCAAGGTATGATTAACTCTTTGTAATATAAAATATATATGCTGCCTATTTTTTATGTTCATATATATATATATATATATATATATATATATATATATATATATATATATATATATATATATATAGATAGATAGATAGATAGATAGATAGATAGATAGATAGATAGATAGATAGATCTTTACTATTACGTATATCATCCGACAGAACGACAGAATAAGGTAGAAATACAAACGTCTATAAATTTGACAAGTTTCACTTTTATTTACGTTTCATCAGAAAATCTTTCGGAATCATTTACAAAGCGAATCGACTTAAATTTATAGACGTTTCATTTTTGTTCTTTTTCTATTGTATTTAAAAATTGAAAATTGCTAAAGATCTTTTTTTTATTTTTTGCTGTCTTCATCAAATTTGCAATCTTATTTAAGCTTTAAGAAGACAAGCTTATTTCTGTCTGTTTATGTATTCAGGGCTATTCATCTTTCAGGAAATCAACACCACACTGAATAACAGGCGGTTCTATATGTCTATATATAGAGTCAATTTCACTATCCAGGTGCACGCACACACATATACATCGTCAAAGATGGAGATAGTCATTCCCAACGACGGGTTATAAGCTTCTTTATTGGGTCTCAAAACATTTCCACTGATAACTACTTTCACTTTCACTTTCAAATTCCAAATCTCTTTTCACGACGGGATATAAAGATTTACTGCCAAAAGCGTTTTCCTCCTATCTGAACGCATGCACATATGCACACACTCACACGCACGCATGTACGAACGGACACATACATATAAATGCACGCACACAGCCACATATACACACACACATACATATTCAAATATATCTCTGTGTGAAAATATATACGGTTATATATATATATAATATATATATGTGTGTGTGTGTGTTTGTGTGTGTGTGTGTGTGTGTGTGTTTGTGTGTAAATAAATATATGCCTATATATATAGACAGATACAGGTATACAACGCACACACACACAAACACACACAAACACACACACACACACACATATATATATATATATATATAGGGAGAGAGAGAAAGAAAGCGAGAAAGAGATAAATGTTAAACATATGTAAATATATATGCGTGAGAGCGTGTGAGTGCAAAAGATACAAAATAAATAACATCCATCCATTCACATACATATATATATATATATATATATATATATATATATATATATATATATATATATGTATACAAAAGTAGATATTATATGTGTGTGTGTGCGCACGGGTGTGTGTGTGTGCGCACGGGTGTGTGTGTGAATAAGTACAAGACACGTTGGGAAACGGTGCAGTTCGGTCTTTCGTCTTAAGTAGGAAGTTCTTCTGACAAAATTATTGAATTCCTCACTATTCTTTTACTGTGATCGCCGTATTATACACACACATGCACACACACACGCGCGCGCGCACACACACACACACGCACACACGCACACACACATATATATATATATATATATATCACCATTTATTTTTCATTTCGCGCATTACGTTGTTTGTTTTTGATTTTGTGACGCACTTCACTCAGCCAGAAAGTTGAACTGCTTGACATTCGCGCCAGAAGCTCCAATACGAACATTTATGTATGTTTGAGTGTCAAACTGAAAACACTTCCAAGGATTCGGAAAGAGTTTGATGAGTCTAATGGTGTTTATGAATGTACGGCAGCTCAGAAATCCCATTGTGATCGTTCTGATAAGAACTTCCGAATTTGTTGATTAGGGGCTCAGACTCAACACAGAGGCCTGCATCAAGTGCCGTGAGGAGGTAGTGTGACCCTCTGTGCAATGTGTGGTTGCTGGAAGATCCTATGCCTAGCAACATGACACCATCCCGCACAAGAAGAGGACCCAGTCATCGTTGTCAGACAATTTCTGCAACCATATCAGCCCTTACATCTAGCCACCTAACTCCTCAGACTGTAACCTCCTTGATTATTATGTGTGGGGGCGCAGTTGATCGAGAGACCAACAATATTCCTTGTAACCCCAAAGATGAACTGAAGGCAAGGATTATGGCAGCATTTAACAACTTAATCAATAAGAGCTTCCAGAATAGATGCAGGAAATTCCGAAGTCGTCTACATGGCGTTTTTATTGAATAAATTTATTCTTTTGTCTTTCAAGTTATTTCTGTGTAATTTAATAAATATATCTGTTAAAATGAGATGTCAGTGTTATTTTAATTTTCGCATAATTTAGATGACAATCCATCGCAGCCTGTATATATTTGGAAAATATGTCACAAAATTCATAAGCTTCAACCAGCACTAACTCTCCCAGGCAAATCAATAAAATATGTCGAATCTTTTACATACCTAGGAAGTGAAATAAATTCTACTGAAAATGCGTATGAAAATTCGAATAGCTAATCTTGAATAAAATGGATGTAATCTGGAAATTTGATCTAACACGCAACCACAAACAAATATTCCTTCGAGCTCTTGTAGAGTTGGTTTTAATGTATGGCGTCACTACATGAACATTATCGCAAACCCATAAGGCTTGATGGAACCTACACTATATTTATCATCTCTAGGGGACAATATCCAACTAAATCACAGCTCTATGGACCTATCCCTGATATTTCTACAATCTTACGCGAATGCAGATTGCGCCCTACCGGACACTGCTTGCGAGTAAAATAAGAGCTGGTAAGTGGTCTACCGCGCTGGACACCTCGCTATGCTGGAAGACGGGTCGTTGGCACAGCAGCCACCGACATTAACTATGTAGAGATGGCACACTAATAACCTTCCGACGGTGATGGTTGGCGTGATAGACTCAGGAATGTCCAAACTAGCTCGATTTAGAGAAAGATGTGAAAAAGTAGAATGTATTTTTCATGCGACGCCTTTCGTCCTTTAGGATTCATAGAAATGAAGTATTGTTTATGTTGATGTATTTATCCATAGTCATGAAGGAAAAAGGATGCTGAAATTTAAAATTTAAATTATTATTTTAAAAACGCGTTTGCGTATATAATATAGCTGATTTGATTTCGTTTAATTTTTTTAGATCAGGATATTATTACTTTTGTTATTAAAATCCCACATTGTTCTAATAGAATATATGTGAATACGTGAAATATTGTATGAAGCTGGATTATATTATCTAAACTTTACGATCTTTATGGAGGAAGACCTCAGGATCGGCAATAGAACATGTGTACGTGGCTCAGCCTATGAACTTTCCAGCCAAACCTTGTATATATAAAAAGTTTATTAATTTCACTGTTTACCAAAATAAAAGAATAGGGATATCTATTCAAACAAATGTACCCCTAAATATGTAATAGAAAACATGAAAGAAATCCATTAAAACTTTCTTAGTGTACCTTTACGGTAAGAGAATATATTTAGCAGATATTGACTTCGAAATACCAAAACAAGATATTTGAATTTCTTAAATGGAATAACGCTGATCTACAATTTTCCCTACTTCGGAAAGGAAATATAACAATTCTTATGCATTTTGGAATAATGGATTCGAAAATGACCTTCAAATCAGATGACTGGTTCCAGTGGCAGCTTGTGGCTAAAATTAGCGGAGGTGTTGTTTCAGAAAAGTTTTAGCCATTGTTTAATATTGTGTAAAAAGAAGCAAACACATAAAATTAAAATTTATACGTAAATCTGATGCAATCCTAAACGAAAAAATATTTTTACCGATAAATTGTTATCAATTCATTTAAAAATGAAATTCATTCTTCTTGTTTTTTATTAGTTTTCAAAGTTTAATACTTTTTCCCTGATCTCTAGCTGACTGTTGAGGAAATTCTTCTTCATTGAAATTACTGCAATTACATTTAGTCTTTCAGGATTCCTAGTGCTCCTTAGAAAGGTTTTTTTTTATTCTTTTCAGTGTTGAAAACCAGCGTTCTGACCCTGATGCCGTCATGGGAATTGTCAAGAATCATTTTCGTAGTTTCAGTAAGAACATCATCTAGATTATTTTCCAAGGTAAATGCC